TACCGCAATCCACGTGGCGCTGCCGCGCTGCTGCTCCCCCTCCCTACCCCCTCCCTACCCCCTCCCTACCCCTCCTCTCCCCTCCGGATCACAACGGCATCCCTCGTCCTCGTCCGCCGCACACGCCGCGCGCCGAAACCCACCTCTCCCTCTGTCCTCCCCCTCCCTTCCCCCCGTGGTTGGACTTCCCCTCCCCTCCCCCCCCCCCACACCACCTTCGCCAGAAGATGGTGCCACCTAGCGCTTTCGCATCCCCCTTGGCACATAAACCCCCCTTCCCCTTTCCGTGATGGTGCTTTGGACGTCGTCAGTCGAGTCGCTTTGCGCCACGTGGTGCGAAACCCCCCAAAACCCCTTCCCCCCCCTTTTACAAAGCGAGATTCCTGTCCGCAACCCGCTTCCTGATGCCGCCCGGTCTTCAGGGTTCGGGTTCTAACCCCCCCTATGAGCTGTAACTTCCCCCGGCTGGCTGACACCCCGGATACGACCCCACAGGTCGGCACCCGCACCCGCACCCGCACTCGCACCCGCCACGTCTGGCGCGCGGCCTGCGGCCTCCCCCACCTCCTCCTTCACCCCCTCCTCCGCGCCGCGAATGACCTGGAGCTCCTGCTTGGTGACCGACGTCGTGGACCATAACCGGGATACTGTGCTGGTGGGTGCGTGGGTTTGTTCGCTTGGGCGGCTGGATGAGCTTGGGGCTCGCAGGAGAGTGGCCAGGGCGGTGGGTGCCCCCCTGGGCTGGACCAGCTCCTCCCCACAGACACCGTGTTTGCCCCTCGCTGCTCTTCTCCCACCCTTTACCCCCCACCCACCCACCCCACACACTTCCACATCCTCAACAACACTGCCCAACACCGGCATACACACGCATACTCTCACCTCACCTCCTGCAATTTCCTCCAATACCTGGCATATTCCATACCAATGAGTTCCACGGCTTTCGTCGGCCGTAGATCCCGTGCGTAAGGGCCCGCACGATTCCCACATGCTCTCTGCTGCTCCTCCCCGCCCCCCCCACGTACCTCCTCCTCCTCCTCCCTGCCCCTCCACACACCTCCAATACACACAGGCCCTGCAGTACTGTCCCGCGCTGGAGGGTCTGCCTGGAGGTGACGGTCACGGCGGCTGGCTCATTTCCTCCTCGCGGCGGCTGCTGAACCTGTGGGAGTGCAGCGCGGGGGGCGGCAGGGGCATGCCGTCGCTCATGGTGGGAGGGGAACGGGAAAAGCTCCTTGTGCAAAAGTCACACGGCTGCCGTCTGCTTCTTACCCTGCCTACCCCCCACTCACCCTGCCTACCCCCCACTCACCCTGCCTAAACTCCCCTCTACTCCTACTCACCCCCTCGCACCTAAAGTATCTATAGTATCTATCTCTGGTATCAGCTTCACTCGCATGTGGGTCGTTTTATCCCCCCCTCCCCCTCCCCCTCTTGCCCTGGCAGCAGCTTCAATCGTGTGTTCTTCGTCTTTCCCTCCCCCTCACGTCCCCCCTCCTCCCTCCACACACAATCCCCCTTCACACATACACACATACACACACGCACACCGCAGCTGCTTCACTCTCAGGAGACGGACTACGTGGCCACCGACCTGGCCGCGGAGCCCACCTCCCGCCTGCTGCTGGCCGCATCCGCCGACCACCGCACCGGCACAGAGTACGTGACGGTACACAGCCTGGACGCCGAGGTGGGCATGCTGGCGGTGAGGTACAAACTGGCGGTCACCAACCCCAACACGCCCAGGCCTACACCGCCGCCGGGGGCGCAGCCGCCGCCGCGGATGCTGTCCAAGGTGGGTGAGGGGCCCCGCATTGCCGTCCAGAGCTCAGGACCCTAAAACCCCTCCCGCCCGGAGACCCCCACCCTCCGCCCTTCCCGCCCTCCCGCCGATACCACTTCACTCGTTCGTGGTTCGTCTTTCCCCCCGATACCACCTACGCGTGTCGACAATCCCCTTTCCCCGCCTTTACTATTTATCACCCACAAGACCCTGGTAGCACCAGGCAGTTGGTCCTTTGCTTCTTGCATGTGATCACGATACCCCCACCTCCTCCCACCCCACCTCCTCCCACCCCACCTCCTCCCACCCCACCTCCTCCCACCTCACCTCCTCCCACCCCACC